TGTGTGTGTGTGTGTATGTATGTATGTATGTATGTAAGCAAATGTAAATGGATATAGATCCGACAGAATGAAGAAAAATTTGGAAAAAACAAATTATATATAATTATAAATATACAAATCCTAATAGAATTCTTTTTATTTTCTTTTTCATTCAAAATAATCAAAAATTTTTAGGAATACGTTTTGAAAGCGTCGCCCATGTGACGACAACGTGACCATGCTAAACGGAAAGCTGATCATTTTAAAAATTTTCAGTTATCTGTTTTGGATAAGACTTGTTTTTTATGTCCATCGTCTTTGTCAAATTGAACTGAATTGTATTTTAATGAATATTGTCCCGAAGAAGGTTTATTAAACCGAAACGTCAGACGTCGACATTTCATTCATTTTAAACAACATAATTGCATTTAAGGATTTTTGTTTTGTTTTTCCAAATTTTTCTTCATATATATGTATATATATTGTCTGACAGCTAGACACCAGCACATAAGATTTGATTATAAAGATGAAGGCTTTGTACATAATCAACCACATTTTTTGAATACGGGGACCTGGTGCACTACGTGCTACAAGATCCACAAACAACCTTCCGCAGGTTTTAAATTCAGAGTTGTCCTTCTCCGAGACCAGTTGCCATCCGAGGACATAAAACCCAGTCTGTCCTGCTAATTACCCATACCTGGAGCGAGAAGAAGAGGATTTATACCTTTCCCAAGGGTATTAGCACGTTAGTGAATGTAATGGATTCGACTGGAATTGGCACTCGGCTCTCCGAGCCATCATTCCTAGCCACTACACACTACTCCATGTATAACACATAACATAAAAATATACCATTACACATAACATAAAAATATACCACTATTCCACATAATACACATAAAATATATTTCAAGGTAAACAAACTTTTTGAGAAAAATGCTCAGTATCTATCGAGAGCTATAATTGTTGTATCAGAAATATTGAAAGTTCACAATACTTATCCAAGATCAATTCAGAGTTTCTGATCTAGGTTCTGAAAAGCGTATATATATATATATATATATATATATATATATATATATATATATATATATATATATACAAACTAGGATTGCCTTTACAGATAATGAATCCTATTTTATTATATTGGCCCATGATGTCAGATATTGAACCCTCTTCCAATAACCTACTGTTTTCTGGCGTTTTGCAGGCAACAGCTGAGCGGCCTATTGTAAAATGATGTCTAGCATGAAAGTTAGTACGAAGCACAGGTGTATCATTGAATCCATTCATGCAGACAAAAATTGCCCTCATTCGCATTTATTGATATCTGCTAAAGGTTTACGGGGACCAAACAATAAATTGAGCACAGTTATTTGGTGAAAAATGCAGTTCAGCAATGATGATGTATGCCTTAATAAACATTCCTGGCGGCGATTCATATCTGTCAACCAATGAAATTAAAGAACATTTGTTCATCGCTGGCAAAAATTCTATAGCGAATGCTGGTGACTATGTTGAAAGAAAGAGTTTTGTAGCTGAAAACTCAATTCAACGATATTTTGCTCTCTGTTGTAGTTTCCGTGGAAATAAATAGAAGCCATTACTATCGGAACTTACCTGGTGTATGCTTGTGTGACGCACATAGATACATGTGCCAGGGTCTTTAGCAACTGATAAAATATGACCACAATTTCGTGTACATTTTATATATGAAAATATACCTTTGACATTAATATATTATCACAACTAAGACCGACACACAGATTTACACAGGTATTTACATATATTCATAAGTACATGAGTGTGAATGGTTATATAGGTGTGAAATTAAAAGGAATTGTAAAGTCTTTTGTTAATACATAAATATATATGTCTGTGTGTGTCATATATCCTTCACCTGTAGACACAACAACCACTCCCACATATATGTAAAGAAAAAAGACACGGCATTTAAACGATAAGAAAGAAAGAAGAAAAAAGATATTCAAGTGATACAGATGACTATAACATATGAAGTTTAGCATGGATTACTAAAGACTTTTGGACAGAATGATTATTATAATGAAAAAAAGAAAAGAAAGACGTTCAAGTGATACAGAAAGCTACAACATATGAACGTTAACATGAATTACGAAAGGCATTTGAACATAAAGATTATTATAATGTAAAGAAAGAAAAAAAGAAGAAAAGACATTTAAGTGATACAGAGGATTATAACATGTGAACATTAACATGAATTACCAAAGACTTTTGAATATAATCATTATCATAATGTAAAAAAAGAAAGACATTTAAGTGATACAGAAAATTATAATATATGAACGTTAACATGAATTAACGAAGACTTTTGAACATAGTGATTATTTTAATGAAAGAAAGAATATATTCAGTTAATACAGAAGTCAGAAGAGAATGATTATTATAATGAAAAGACTGGTGCCCCCATCTGTTCATCTTGAGGCTCTCGCCAAAATCCAAAGAAGGATCTTCAATATAATCCATCCTGACTTCCCATCTCGACTCCAGTCACTTTCTCACAGACATGATGTGACTACCCTCTGTCTTTTCTACAAATATTTCCATGGCTACTTTTCTGTCAAGCTTTTTTCCCCGGTGCCCAGACTACATAGATTTAAGCGTGAGAAACTTACATCTAGATCCCACCCATTTACCGTTGAAATAGTTAAATGTAACCGCTACTTCTGCTCTAGCAGCTTCTTTTCTTGCACTTCTCGCCTGTGGAATTCCCTTCGCTTGGGGTGTAATGCTTAAAAAATCACTGAAATTTTAAAAAATACTAAATTGTTGCAAATTATGTATAGGACATGCACGTTATAGAACATTTTGTTATATAACGGTTACCAAATTAATTACGTTTTATAATAGATACCTAGACACGAAGCCAAATGCGAGTCAAATGTCCTAGGCCTAACTTCCTGGTATTCTGGTATTTATGCTGTGATAGGTGTTTGTTTCACTGTACATATTTACTAAGTTGAGCATAGGATAGTATAGTACCTTAGTATGTTACCAAATAAAGATCAAATAGTCTACTAGTGTTCAAGACTAACTTATAAATCTTCGTTTCAAATCAAAGTATAAAGGTCAGAAATATCGCATTCAGATATTAATAACCAAAAGGATAATTGGCTTCTGCTTTCAGATACAGCTGCCATATCATTTTTTTTCAAATTGTCAATATTGCTAACCCCAAGATACTATTAGTTTATCTGCACTCTTTGCACCCAAGCATATAAATCCATTATGTCATAATTGTTAATATTACGACTTCAAAAGACGTTCTTATAATTTTCTATGTTAATATTAGTAATTTTTATATATGTATATCTTCTTTTTTTCACTTGTCAGTATTCTTGGGTTTATTATGTAGTTATGATAACAATATTTACGTCAGTGGCTGATCTTTTGGTCAAGCTAAGATTTTTAGCGATGGTTTTTGAGGCACGGTATAAGACATATTTAAAAACAATATTTAGCTATTTGTATACAGATTTATTCAGCCACAATATATGCCATTTTGTTCCACTACGTTGCAGGCTGCCTTCTTTATCGACGATGAACAGTTCTTAGTGGTTATTACAGGCTTCTAGGGAATTGAAGTTCTTCTTGTTAAGAGAACTTTGTAAGAGTTAAAAAGAGTACTGCGTTTGAAGTAGGACATCCCAGCCAAGTTCTAACAATTTCTGTCGAGGCCGGAAAAATATGTGATGCTGGCGTTGTCTTGATGGAAGAAAAAACTTTTCCCATTATAGATTCATTTTACTAATTAGTCTTTAATCGGTCCATTTGGGAACAGTACTTGTCGCAATTCAACTTCTGATTTTGTGGAAGGAGCTCGTAATACGCAATTCACTTCCAATACTACCTTCTTTGGATGTAGTCCTATATCGATCCACATTATTGTAAACAATCCATTTTTCATCGTACTGGACCGTCCCTTTAAAAAATATGTTGTTTTATTGAATTTCAGCGAAGAATCGCAAATAGAAATGGAAACAATTATTTTTTTTCGGTTAAATCGAGGGGAACCCATATATTGTAATCATTCACGTATACAATTGTTTACAAATGTTTTACGATGTACGTGGATGTATGGATTATCTTTGTGAAGTCCCGTGTCGTAACCTGGATTGTTTCTAATCAGCCTTTTGATTTGGTTATCATCAATGATGGCAAGCTTTCCGTAAGGCTGTTCTGCTTCCATATCAAAATTTCAACTTCTAACCTAGCGAACCACTTACACGAACATGCTCTCAGCTATGGTACCATTGCACAATATTTACCCTTTCTGGAAATAAAGAGCAACAAATTACGAAAATGCAATTCAATTGCTTCCATTTTCATTTTAACGAAATTTATTTAAAATTCACAATCTACACACGAATCGTACAGAAAGACAGTTTCAAAATATGTATATATTTCATAAATAAAGACGACACTCTCATAATTTGTGCATATTTCATAAATTTCTATTACGTGTGAATCGAAATCAGGTTTTCGAACGTTACCTATTTAAAAACGCTCCGACGTTTTGCTCCAACACAATAGATATTAACCAAACACTATTTTCCCGTACAGAGCTAAGCTAAATCTAGAAAATATCTGTCAATATACTTACATCCCTTGTCCTGTACGGGGGCTTCCTCTTTAGGAGGGGGTGAGTTTATTGCCTGAGGCGTCCCCTAAAGGAGAAGTGCCGAGGAACCATGGCTAATTTTTCCACAGTATTGCAGCTTTAAACCTCGACCTTGTGTCATATTCGGTAGCGACGTGAGCACGCTGAAAACTAAATACACATATCACTGACTAAGGATTAAACTCTAGAGACAAGGTAAATTTCGAACGTTGTTTTTTTTTTTTTGTTTTTTTTTTTAATCAAGCAGACTCTCTTCACCAAAACGTTTGGTGCAATGTAACTCTTAAACACGTATTTGGCCTTGTACCGAATTGCTTTAAGCGAAATATCAATTGGTACTTATGTGTGTATGTGTGACTTTGGAACTGAGAAAAACAGAAATGAGTTTATTAGAAAGTAAGCAAAAGAGAGAATAAGGGAAAAAATGGTGGTAGGAGTGTGAAAGATGAACTAAAAAAGATACAAAAACAAGAGAGAAAGGAGAACGGACAGTAGTATTTTTAGATACGTAAATTTGGGCATTGTGCTTTCGTTGCGAAGAAAAAAGAAAGCACATAAATTTTGATTGTCTATTATAGCACATAATTGTGTGCATATGGGTGTATGAGCATGTTGGATTTAGCATGGTTTTCGTATTATTCTCAGTAATGTATTCTCGGATTAATATTATAAATGTGTTTATCTCTAAGGTTATGGCTGCCAGAAATATATGTTCAGGATAAATACTATCATAACTAAAATGTGCATTTGCACCACTGTGCGCTCGCGCTCTCTCCCTTTCGCACTCTCTCTCTCTCTTTCTTCCCCCCCCTTCCAGCTCTTTCTCCCTTTCTTCCTTTCTCTCTCCCGCCATCTCTCTCCCTACCACCCTCTCTCTATTTATCTATATCCCTTCACCCCTCCGTCTCTCTCTCTCTCTCTCTCTCTTTCTCTCTGTTCTTACTCAGCTTGACTTTTTACAGCCTCGTTTTTTTTTGCGCATGGGAACATTTACAAGACCTTTTACTACTGACGTAAAACTGTAAACTATGTAATAAGTGAATGATAAAACAGACAAATCAAATTTAATGCAAAAACAGTCACGAGTGTTAGGACAATCATGCGTTGGGAACTGAACTAACAACATAACTTCGAACTTATGAATACAGATGCTCTTACACGGAAAATATTAGACTGTAAACCACACCAGAAGTGTATGCAACAAAATGAATCAAAAGAAATAAAAAAAAGTATACATGACAGGGTATGAACATTCATGCAGTAGGAATTCAGCAAACCAGATGAACTCGTCCATGTAGAAATATGATGATTTTGTCGAGAAAAAATGCGACTGCAAACCACTGCTGAAAGATGAATCAAAAGGGTTATAAAAACAGATACAACAAAGTATGGACAATGATATACTGGGATAGGTGTCAATGGTTTTCCAAAATGAATTTTATCTTCATAAGCAGATTACAGATGAACGGATCATACTACTGAAAGTGAAGAAATGGAACAACGCCATAAATTTACTGAGTAATTGAGAAAAATGTGAATCATGAAGAGTTGTATCCGTACTTGGGTATGTGTTAAATACACGATAATAAAAACCCGTTGAATTGGAAATTCGAGAAAGATTTGAAACTGCAGACAGGTGACCTGCTAGGATAAAAGAAAAAATCTATAGATTTGAGGAAATTTGCTGTCACTTTACCTCTATTGATAATCACCAAACATATAATGGGAATATCCACATAAGTAAATAAATAATAAAAATACTGCTAAAACCAAATTTAATACCGAGGAGAGTGCTAAAAAATGAGAACACTTGATGCCACTTGACATTCAGTAACGATTACCAATTACAAATTATATAAAAAATCCTTAAGTACAAAATTTTCCACATATCACAGTGTAAAATATAAAGTGAAAAGCTGGGAAAATATATGTACTTTGTGAAATGAAAGTGACAATTGTACTCAACATTGTCGACAGGGCCAGCTAAAGGTACTGGAAATTCATCATGCCGCCATGTCATGTGTTTGTGATTCTAAAACTAATCCTGCAGTCGTCCATGACTCAAGGCATATTAAATTCTTTGGTTATTTTGTCAACTGAAAGTGATCTTGTAAAGAAGATAGGTATTGAAAGTACCATAAAAAGATCTAAAAGCTCGAAAAAATGGTTTTAGGCAGGATAATGAGTGTTTTCTTTAATTTGTATTAAATTGTATATTGTAATAAACTCGTTATTTTACATTTTCAGTTTTTCTCACTGTGTAAACATTTTAAATTTATATTTGTAAGGAAGACGAAGTTCAGCATATCCCGGATGCTAGAAACCCAATGGCCGTCATTGATTGTCGATGAACTGGGAATAGTTTCAGAAAATACTTAAAAAAATAGAAACCATCCAAACAATCTTATTAGTAAAATCAAGTAGAATAATGGGGATAGTACTGAACTGTGGAGGGGACTTATTGCCCCTTGGTTTCTTGTGTGTACATTATAAGATAATAACCTGTACTAAAATCAGCTCGAATAATGAGGTGAGTTTTTTTTTTAAGCGTTTCACCCCAAGCAAGGCGGGAAGCCACTAGGACGCAAGGGGTTACAGAAAATTTGGAGCAAGATCAGATAGGAGTGATAGAAGAAAGAATGAGGAGAAGGGTAGTGGATAGATCAAGGCAACTGGAGATGTCGATTGACATTACATTTGAATAGCTGGAGATTATAGCTCTCAGGGAAACTGGAATAGGAAAGGGAGTTCCACAGGCGAGAGGTGCGAGACATGAAGCTCTTGGAGTAGAAGAAACGGCTAAATTTAGGAGGTTCGACAGTGAAGGGGTGAGAGCGGGATGCCAGCCTTGTAGGGCGCTTGAACTCATGAAGTCTGGGAACCAGCGAATGCAGCTCCTCGGAGCAATTGCCATGAAAGTATTTGTAAAACAGACAGAGAGAGGCGACGGCGCGTCTGTGAGAGAGTGACTGTAGACGAGATGCCAGAGCAGGGTCAATTATGTTGCATATCCGCCTCTGGAGCCTATCAAGAACCCCGAGGTAAACAGAAGAGGCTCCAGACCATATATGGCAGCAATACTCCATGCAAGGGCGAATTGTTGATTTGTAGATCTGGAGGATCGATTCCGGGGAGAAAAATTTCCTGGCGCGGCACAGGGAGCCTACTTTCCTTGCGGTGGACGAAGCAATTGACTCAATAAAGTTATGGGGAATTAAAGAGATATGCTGTCGCTTGATGTCCAACGAAAGCGAAAAAATAATACCGATACGAACACTCAAATTGAATAATTACTGAAATGGTTAAAATAATTGACAGAGTATTGAAAAGTATAAAAATTAATAAGAAATCAGCCGGGCTGCTGGAATATTAAAAAGATTTGATATCCAGCGCAATCTCTTAGATACTAACGTGAATACTAAAATATGTGTACCGTATATATAGTACAAGTTTTTATCATTTTTTTTTTTTTTTTACCCAGAAATAGAGCGTCGTGCTATATACAAGTAATAATTTGAAGAGATTAAAAACTATTTTTCGGTGACCGGCTGCACAGGGAATTTTTCGGGGTGGGGGAGAATTCATACCAAAACATTCAGGTGTCGCACTATACATCAAATCGGTTTTTATAGATGAGTATGTATGGTAAATAAATCAGTTAGAATATTGTGAATAAAACATTTTTGATTTGATCTCCTGTGTAAGGCACCAGCTACTATCAGCGATCTGAAATAATAAAAGTAATTCCACTCAAAACTGCAGAGTGGATGTGTTTGTTGAAGAAGAATTCTTAAGAGAGATAAATATGAAAATAAATATTTTTCATGGACATTCAATCTCTCTATTACTAATTAACATAAAAATAAGCATAATGACACTGCACGTGAAATAGAAAAAAGTGTAATGGCAGATATCAAATCACAAATACGTTGGAAAAATATCAGCGATTTAGTGTACATGGATGACTGAAAATCGTTTGCAAAACACAAGTAATGAATTGGAAACATTGATCAAAACATTGATTAGAAATTGCAGCGATGAAGGAATGGTAAAATACTTTCTACTACATCTATATTTCTTTTGCTCTATTTTACTCGCAAAGTTTTAATATACAGAAATTTTAACGCCTTCACATCCATAACGATTTTCAGTCGTTCGCTCATCTTTCTTATTCAACCATTTTCTTCGCTATCCCTTCTTATTCAACCAAGAAGCCTGCCTTTCTTACGTCTTTATTTCTTTCCCTCATGTATATTTATTTTACATTTCACCTGTTTTTCCCCAATTTTCTTACACCTTACCTTACATCTTCCAAATTCTCGTTTTTCTGCTCCTCCTCCTCCTCTCCATAGATTTGTTCACTTCCATTAGGTAAGTTCATCGGTCAGCAAACGTATCTCTTCCATCCGTAAATGGATATAATCTGGCACATATTAAAACCGGATTTTTCTTCCATGTGTTGTATCTCTTGAAGACGTTAGCTATCCAAAATATCTTGTCCTTTGTGATTCTTAATATAAATATATTAAGAACCATCTTTTTGTTATCTCTTCTAAACTCTGTTTTTCCAACCATTTACACAGGCTTGTTAAGAAAGTTAAACACTGTTTCTCTCTGTGCCTCTTGCCTTCACTATGTCTTGTGAATGTCAAATTTTCCAAACCCTCTTTCCTCATTGTGTACCCTGGAAATTTCAACTGCCTCTTTCTGATGTTAAGTATGTGCCCTTTTTGTTTCCATTTTCTCTAAAACTTCGTCGTTGCTCACATCTCGGCATCTTTCTGTAGAGCAACATTTCTATTGCCTCAAGTATTTTCTTTATAAGCAGAAAAAAATAAAAAATCGTTCACCCAAGCGAACAAAATAGCGATATGGATAATATAATACTAGGCAGGGTGCTGGAGATTTGAAGAACCGCTATATTACTCAATCACCAATCATAACAGCCAGACACCGATGTGAAAATTCCAATGCAAATAAATAAGTAAATAATAATAAAATTTTCAAGATTATAATAAGTAAATACAACGAGGGACATAGAAGGAAAATTATTATCAACTAGTATTTCTTTGATATTAATTTCATCAATTTTATTTACAGGATTAGCACTAGTATTAATTACTATTCTTTTATAGGTTTCTTAAATGAAACATTATTAATTCTTATATAATACTTCTTTCATATTAATTTTAGTTGCTCATACACCTTATAGACATAATATTAGGCAATCTGAATTTCTTATATTAAATATTCTCACTGATTATTGATTTTTTTGATTGCATTGATTTCATTTTAATTTTAATTGCACTTACATATTATAGTCGTAATATTAGATAGTCTAAATTTTTATATAAGCATTGTCAACCATTATTGACTTTTAACTAATATATTTTTATTTTAATTTTAGTTGCACTTACGCTCAGTAGCAATTAATATTATTTTTTGTATTTCTTAAATGAAACTTTGTCAGCCATTACTAATTTTAACTAGTATTTCTTTGATAACGTTCGATACAAAACTATTTGAATTTTCAGGAAAACCTAACTCATGAGGGAA